TGTGGTGTACACACACACACACACACAGACACACACACACACACACACACACTATCAATCCATGTTGCTGCAAATGGCACTGTACTTTTTATGGCTGAATAATATTCCATTGTATAAATATACCACAACTTCTTTAGGGATCCAGATGCTTTTGACATTGGACACTCTTGCAGTGAACTTTCTCTCTCTTCAAAAAGGACCTCCTGATTCTATCCAGGGCTGAGGTGGTAGTGGTTACAGTAGATCTCCCCCACTCCCCCTTTTTTTTTAAATGGAGGTACTGGGGATTGAATCCAGGACTTCATGCATGCTAAGCACGCACTCTTCCTCTGAGCTATACCCTCCCCCTGCAGATTTCTCTTAATAGTGGTACAGTCTTGGGGGAGGGTACAACTCATTGTAAAGCACATGTTTAGCATGTATGAGGTCCTGTGTTCAATCCCCAGTACCCCCTCTAAAAACAAATAAATAAATAAACCGACTACCACCCCCCCGAAAACAACTAAAAAAAAAAATAGAGGTAAAGTCCTCCCTTAAGGGATATGTGTGGGTTCTTGCATCACTGGTCATGGTGACAGTAAGTTGCTACCAGAATTGATTGAAAAACTCATGTAAATCACCCTGGAGGGTTTTTGGAAATATACAGAAAGAGGAACCCTGGGAAAAGACTGGACTTCCTGTTACTCAAGCAGTGAGTGCTCAGAATGTTAAGACGTGGAGTAGTTTTTCAAATGTGGCCTCATTTATGCTCTTAAGCAAATGAAACCTGAGCATTCTATTCATAGACTTGATTATTTTTATTATTATTATTATTATTATTATTATTATTATTATTATTATTTTGCGTAAGAAAAACTTTACTGGCTCCTCTTATTGCCAGGAAAAAGTGCAAACTCTTTTACATAATAATCAATGCTTCTCACGCCAGCTGACTCTAACCAACCCTTCACATCTAGTCTTTCCTCCCCACCCTCCATGCCCTGGCTACACTGCATTAATTACACTTCTCCAGATGTGACAGGTATGTTCACGCCTCTGTGCCATTGCTCTGACTGTTTCATACGTCTGGAATGCCCTTCCTGCCCTGAACTAGTCTACTCGCCCTTGAAGTCTCAGAGCAACTAATAATAATGATGACAGCTAGTAAAAGCACTTGTTACAGGCCTGGCACTGTTCTAAGCACTGCATGTGGTTTTTGTCTTTTAAGTTTCACAGCAGGTATGAGATAGGTACTATTATTATCCTCATTTACCACTGAAGAAACAAAGGCATAAGGAAGGCACTTAGGAAGTGAGTGCCAGAGTCAGAATTTGAACCCAGCTCTTGACTAAAATTTGCATGGTTTTCCCAGCCCTGAGTCCACTCCTGCAGCAGAATTCACCTTCTTTTCTGTGCTTGCATGAACCCAAACAGGGTTAAAGACAGTTGTTTTCTATCTTCGCAGTCTGCTTGTTGGTACTCTCCCTAACATGTAGTAGATGTCAACAAATGTGTGATGGTTGGTTTTAGGTATTAACTTGGCTAGGTTATAGTACTAGTTATTCAAACACTTCTCTAGATGTTGCTATGCAGATGTGATTAACATGTACAATCAGTTGACTTTATTTCTTTTTCTTCCAGTTTTATTGAGATACAATTGATAGACAGCACTGTACAAGTTTAAAGTGTGTACAACATGGTAAGTATAATTAACACTGCTGTATGTTATATATGAAAGTTAAGACAGTAAATTCTAAGAGTTCGCATCAGGAGAAAAAAGTTTTCTTGTCTCTCTTTAATTTTGTACCTATAAGTGATGATGAATGTTTACTAAACTTATTGCGATAATCTCTTCATGATGTATGTAAATCAAATCATTATGCTGTACACCTTAAACCTATGCAGTGTTGTATGTCAATTATAGTTCAATAAAACTGGAAGAAGAGAGAAAAAGTTTACGGTGTACAGGATAATAATTTGATTTACACACATCATAGAATGATTATCACAATAAGTTTAGTGAATATCCATCATCTCTTAGAAACACAAGATTAAAGAGAAAAAATTTTTTTTGGTCGTGAGAAC